GAAAAAAATTGAAATTAATAGCCAATACTCATAACATCAAAAATAGTTGTAGATACAAGTACTCATACAACATAGAGCATTCAGTCTCAAATAATGTGGAATAGATAAAATCCAGTATCAAAGTCCATAGGCGTTACAAAGGGTGTTACAAAGGGTCAACATCCATTCACAAAAGCCGTCGTCATAATCCATAAAACACAATAATTCACAATGGTCATCAGGAGAAAACTGTGGCTGGTTTCGATCCCTATTTATCAACCATTAATGCCATAGCCGGGATCCACCTCAAAAGGTGCCAAGTGAAAAAATTGTGAGTTCAACGCCAATGTCTTAAACAATTCTTACATCCTTCAGCATATCAAGTGGTAAAACTTGAAACTTCGAAATTAATGATTTGTATTTTTCAGCGAAGCCCAAAAAGTATTTCTTAAGTTTTATACAAGTATAACCTTGACCTAACAGTTTGATCACTAAAGTATTGTTTCTTGACTTAAAATCTAAATATTTTGAGCATGTCCTGCCATATCTAATAAGCTGGGATACATAGACCCCATATGCTGGGTTTAATGGAATATTACTGTCTAAATGGGGAAAATTAACAATAGCAAAGTTGAAATCATCTCGTTTATCATACAACTTACAATATATACTGTTATCATGTTCAATGTTAATGAGAAGATCAAGATAAGGCGCATTCAGGTAAGAGGTAAGTGGCTCAAATAAAACCCTAATGAAATTAAGAAATTTGGTTGAAAAATAAGCAAATACTGGCTGTTTGAAGTTAAACCTTTTTTATTTGTTTAAAAAACAAGATCAAGAACGGGTAAGTAGCTAAAGTGAGATCCAAACCTTTTTAACAAAGTGAGCTAACAATTCGAACGGTAAATTCGGCATATGTGAAAACATTTGATTTAAAGTGATGTCTAGGTCTCAAGAAAATTGACTATAAACCTTTGAGGTCTAAACTGGATGAGAAATCATCAACAGTGTCTTACTATTAAAGGCACATATTTTTAGAAAACATGACATGGGGAATTTCCCAATATACAGAGTCGGTAAATGTGTATTAGTAAACTTAGCACAAATAGTTCAGGACAAGAGGAACAAGCCTCATAATTCGAAAACTATACTTAAACATTATTAATAACTTGCATCAATCCATACATATGTACAAACATCCATCCATTCATCAATCTTAACATCCATCTTATACGTTTGTATATTTTTAATTTTATACTTTTGTATTTGCAGGAAAGACAACGACAGGAAGAGGTAAGTTGCTCAAATAAAACCCTAATGAAATTAAGAAATTTGGTTGAAAAATAAGCAAATACTGGCTGTTTGAAGTTAAACCTTTTTTATTTGTTTAAAAAAAACAAGATCAAGAACGGGTAAGTAGCTAAAGTGAGATCCAAACCTTTTTAACAAAGTGAGCTAACAATTCGAACGGTAAATTCGGCATATGTGAAAACATTTGATTTAAAGTGATGTCTAGGTCTCAAGAAAATTGACTATAAACCTTTGAGGTCTAAACTGGATGAGAAATCATCAACAGTGTCTTACTATTAAAGGCACATATTTTTAGAAAACATGACATGGGGAATTTCCCAATATACAGAGTCGGTAAATGTGTATTAGTAAACTTAGCACAAATAGTTCAGGACAAGAGGAACAAGCCTCATAATTCGAAAACTATACTTAAACATTATTAATAACTTGCATCAATCCATACATATGTACAAACATCCATCCATTCATCAATCTTAACATCCATCTTATACGTTTGTATATTTTTAATTTTATACTTTTGTATTTGCAGGAAAGACAACGACAGGAAGAGGTAAGTTGCTCAAATAAAACCCTAATGAAATTAAGAAATTTGTTTGAAAAATAAGCAAATACTGGCTGTTTGAAGTTAAACCTTTTTTATTTGTTTAAAAAAAACAAGATCAAGAACGGGTAAGTAGCTAAAGTGAGATCCAAACCTTTTTAACAAAGTG